GCTAGGTTCATTTCCAAAAATGTACATCTTTTTGAGATTATTGTGATAAAAAGTTAAAAATTTTTATCTATTAGCTCATTACTACTAAAATGTAACCATGTTAAGTACTCTGCTATCTTTTGCTGTAGTTAGGTATAATTTATTCAAGATTGGTATTATTTGTTCTTTGAAGTCAATTTAGAATTGTGAATACTAAGAATAGATGCTAAAAAAGAGACTCAGGATATGCCAAGTTCAATTAGTGCACACCTTTTATTATCTATACAAGAATTGGACCTATCATTAGTTCAATGTATCAATAAGGACACGTAAAATTAGTTCCAGTACTTACAACTATTGACGTCAAGTCTTCACTTTCAAACCGTCCAATCGCCAGTTCCAGGGACTTATACATGGCTGCCGAAACCCGCTGAGTGATCAGACGATTGAGGTCTATCGACCTCCCCAGGAGCTGGGGGGAGGCAGGAGGGAGGGATGGCAGGGAAAGAGTAAACTCAAAAACTTATGAACAATAAAAGGCAAATGAACAAGCAAAAAAAACAGAAAACATTAAAAAAAAACCCCAGAATCCTATTTCAAAAGACAAACAAAATTCATTTGTAGAAGGATATGGCAGAAATTCAAACATTTTAGATGAAATTGTATATGTGTCAGTGAGTGAGATAACTTTCCATAAGTATTTACCCTACTTTCCTGGAGCTGAAATTCTACAAGTCAAAGCCATAAAGCACTTTAGCAGTGTCATTTGCATTGAATTTGCACTGAAATCATGGGCTGAAACCCCAAGCCTCCCCAGAGGCCCTGGAGAATCTGGGTCTGTCAACAATGACACCCTTTATAACAGTGTCCAGGACCAGCCACCCACCACACAGGTGGCCTGGGTGTGTCTGATTTTGCACATGTGTTACAGTGACAAATAAAATGACTCCATCTCTACTTCAGAGTCCTAAGAACACATGTATGCCTCACTATCATTTCAACAACATAAAAATATTGCAAAGCCCTTGTGAGAAAAGTCCCCCAAAATGTGCACGGTGGTTACCTGCAGACAGAGAGTAGAATTAAATGAAACTTTCTCTACAGTTTTCCATATTTTCCCTTTTTTTTTGTGATTATATATCATTTTTAAAAATACCACAAAAAACGAGCACTGTGTATCTTTCAATTTTTCACGCTGGCCAGGAGAAAGCCTATCTCTGACTCTCTGAGCTGAGGAGTGCTGCTCACCTTCATTCTTTCTAAGCTCTGGCTTTTGGGCTCCTGGAGAAGGGCCGACCCCTCTGGGCCACACCTGCCCCAGCAGCCTGGGCAGGGCAGACGCAGAGTGCTCACAGTCTCCCTGTGTGTGTCTGAGGTTATCAAATAGAAACCGTTTGTCTTTAAAAGCTTAACACTTTATAAGAAAGACACCTGCACCCGAATGTTTATAGCAGCACGATTCACAATTGCAAAGATGTGGAAA